TTTTTTTCCAAATGATTTTGAGTTTTGTTCCACATTGTTCTCCCTGTCTATCCAGGATCTCCTACATAGATCCTCTTCCAAGTGGTTGACAGTAGTAGGCAGGCACCATCTAGTCCTTCTGGTCTCATAGTTGTATAGGCTACAGATTGGATGGTGTACCAGTCGCTAGGACTAATTGTTTCCATGCATTTTTGGTTTTCTTCATTCCTCTTGGCTCTGGACGAGGAGAGACTCATCGATCAATTCTTTTCCAATCTTCATTTTTCTACCTTCCAGATCTTACATGTGCCAGTTTCTCATACGGGGTGACTTGCATGATGCTATGATGCTGGAAACTATGTCACAGATATTTCATGTACCAGCAGAGCCAACACCACAGTGGGCAGTTTCCAGCAGAGCTGCCAGCCTGACAAACTAGGAGAAAGAGCCTGGTGATCGACTTCCATAAGAAAACTGCAGAGAAAATCAGTACTCTGGGCTTACTAAACAAATACATAGCCATTATGTTATACCTTATACTGCCAGAACCAACCCTACCGTTCGGTGAATTGAGGGAACTCTCCCAGGAAAGATGAAAGAGGGTTTCAGGAAGTAGCCTGGAAAACTTCATGGGTTATCACTGAGCCATTTTCCAATTGGATCAAGGAAGGTTCAAGAAACCAAAAAACTTTTAGAACAATTGTTCTGTGTTATCTTTGGATATACAGGAACTTCACCATTTCCACATGAAATTGTATTTTCTCAAAGACAAGGTCATGGCATTTCTCAGCCAGCAAGCACTAGAATGATGAGGTTGAACAATGAAAACTGATTTGCTGCCAGCTTCCACAGCAATTTATCTTCCTATCCCACTGCTATACAAGGGAGTCAGAAGGAAGAGGACAGACAAAACAATCTTTTTCTTTGAAAATGTTGTTGTGATGCTTGATCTGGAACATCTTGTCAGGCAAAGAAGCTATCAAAGTCACAGGGCCTTGCCAAAACAACTAGGATGTTTTCTGGAAAGATCATTATCTTTAGATGTGCACACTGAAATATTTACAATTTAAACAGAATTTTCTTCAAAAGAAGGCAAGGTAAGGGTGGAGAGCAAGGAGCAATGGGGGACCGGGGCTTGATGAAACAAGTCTATGAATTGCTAACTGCAGAACGGAGAGTTCTATTCTACTTTAGCGTATGTTTGAAATCTTCCATTTACAAAAAATGCTTTTAATTTTTTATCTAATGTAAGGAAGGAAACAAAGGAAATTTCAAGTCAACTTCTGCTTTAATCTTTTTTAATTGCGGGAGGAGGGAATAGATCAGTTTTTTGTTGCCCCAAATGTCCAGCAAATTCATGAACACTGACCTGAGGAGGTTCAAAATTTGGTCTCCACCAGTTGCCGATGCAGTCATCAATGACCCAATCTTGCAGGACTCCATCTTGACGACCTAGTATCTGTCAAAAAGAAATGATACATTGTTAACAACTAAATACACATACACGGGAATGCCCTCTTTAGTGAAGAGAATTACTTTGTGGGGCACTCCTAATAGACATATGGCTAATGTACCTTCCGTATAGGTTCCTCCCCATAATTTCCTCTTCATTGTTATGTGTCACTCTGCTCATGACATAAACCATCAGTTCAGAATTGGTCATCTAGTACAGACATGGTTATCCTCTGTATCCCAGGAGAACTGTGACCCACAGGGTCTTCAGTGGCTGGTTTTTCCAAAGTTGATCACCAGGCCTTTCTTCTGAGATACCTACAGGGGGAATCAGACCTCCAACCTTTTGGTTAGCAGCCAAGCACACTAACCACTGGACTCATAGGGCCACCATGAGTCAAAATCAACTCAACAGCAACTGTTTTGGTTTTTTGTGTCTTTTAGTATAGACGTAACTCTATGGGATTGCTATGCCCTAATTATACCGAGAAAACCAAATCTGATCAAAGCCTTGCCAAAACAATTAGGATGTTTTCTGGGAAGAAAACATCTTTTAGCTATGCACTTTGAAATATTTACAATTTAAATACAATTTCCTTCAAAAAAAAGCCAAGGTAAGGGCAGAGGGAGAGGGGCAATATGGGACTGGAGCTCTACGAATCGATTTAATCAGCAGTGATTTAATCAGCTGTTTAAATCATCTAATAGCATACAATAGTTTTTCTAGAATCAACTGTAAATAAACAAAAAACCCATTGCTATCATTTCTGACTCATGGCAACCCATGTGCTACAGAGTAGAACTGCTTCATGTAGATTTCTTCACTAATCTTTATGGAAGTTGATAGCCAGCCCTTTCTTCCAAGGCACCACTGAGTGGATTTGAACTACCAACCTTTTAGCTAGCAGTTAATCACTTAAACATCTGCATCAGCCAGACTGTCCACATTACATTTAACTATGATGTCTCCTTAGGCGCCTCCTGACTACTTCTTAGACTTTTTTCCCATGACCTTCACAGTTTTGAGGCATGTTGGCAGAACGTCCATCAAGTAGACCAGGATTATAGGGTTTGAGGGAGAAAAACCACAGAGGTAAAATACCATCCTCATCATGTATCAAGACTGCATGCTATCAACATGACTGAACACTCACGATGCTAACCTTGATCACCTGACTGAGGTAGTTTGTCAGGTTTTTCCATTGCAAAGCTACTCTTTTTAAAACCTTCTTGAATTATTATTTTTAAAAAACTAGAAAATAATGATAATTATAACCTTATGAACTCCCCCTACTGTGGATAAGAACTTTCTCTTCCACCATCCTCTCATTATTGATTTTTGATTAAGTCAATATTCTGTATTTAAAATATGGTTCTATGTATCATTCATAATTCAGCAATTAAACTATAATCACATTTCCTTATCTGTACAACTATTCTTTCTTTCAAGTTAATAACTGTTTCATTTCATTTGCTACCATTAAAACTCATCCCCACATTCTCCACGAAGTGTAAATTCTTCTCAATTCGAACCTTATTCTATCAGCTTCTTTATTTTTAAGAGACTGTTTTCTAACATCCTCCTCCAACAGATCCCAGCTGCTCCCAAGCCCTGCTGCACAGCTGGCGCTCTAGGGCTTGGCTTTGCCTCTCTCCTACGTGACTCTGAATCCTGTATTTTACTTTTTCGATTTTGGTGGTAAACACGCCCCAGCAGCTTCTTGAGAAAAGGTACAAGATAACTTTTTTGAAACTCTGCATGTCTGGGAATTATTTTATCCGCACACTTGATATATAGTCTGATTAGATGGAAAAATTCTAGGATGGAAATCATATTCCCTCAGGTATGTTCCATGACATTTTAGCTTCCAGTATTATTCCTGGTAAGTCCACTGCTGATGTGATAGTGTGTGTTTAATCTGTGTGCACCACCGGCCCCACCTTTGGAGGCTTTGGGGACCTTTATCATTATTGATCTCAAATTTCATGATATGTCTGTGCATGGATCTTTCAACATTCATCACAGAAGGCAGGCCAGTTTTTTCAATCTGCAAACTCAACACCCTTCAGTTGGGGGAAATTTTCTTAACTTAATGTTTTGAAAAATCTTCCTTTCCTCTACCCTCTCTATCTGTAATTTATATTGGTCCTTTTGACTGATCCACTCATTTCATCTTTTCTCAAACTATGTTCAATCATTAACCTTTTTGTTTTCATTTGGTTAGAGTTCTTCAATTTAATCTTTCAACTGACTTTTTTCCCCATAATTATGGGGTATTTTAGGGAAGTAACCCCTTCTACTGAATTTTTTCTAAATACATGAGTTCTTTGTTCTGCCATTTTTTAAATGGCACTCAATTTCATAGAGATAGTATCTCCTTGTATTTATTTATTTTTATTTTTTTTTATTTTGATTTGGGTGAAGATTTACAGAGCAAATTC